CACACACACACACACACACACACACACACACACACACACACACACACACACACACACACAGAAAACACACACTTCCTCCTTTCCTTCAATTCATCCAGACCTGTAAAGGGCAAAATCCAAAGGGGCAAGACTAATTTGGTTAGTGACTGGAAAAAGACGAGAGAAGATGAGAGTACACGAGGAAGAGCGGCAGACTATAGAGACAGAGAGAGCGAGAAAAGAAAGCAGACAGAATGACCGAAAGGTAAGCATGTGGGGGCAATAATTCAGTTAACTGTGATAGGTCAACCAAACCACCTATCCATCAACTAGGCCAATCAGATTATAGTATCGACATTCTACCATAGAGCAGACATTGTTTCCATTTGCAATGACCTTCTGTGTTTGTGTGTATGCTGCAAGACAGGATTAGCTATTAAGCTGCTTTTGAAGGAACCCACAGATATATCGCACTGTGTGTGTGTTAAGGCATGTGTGTGCAAGAAGAAGACAAAAAAAGTATCATATCGAAAGTATTACAACAGCACAAATCAGTACCACAGAAGAAATATCCTATTCTTCACTTGTCCCTGCCAAATTCTGACCCGATCATCTGAATGTTGCAGCACAAATCAAGACACATTAGACCAGCCAGTAATGTTCTAATCTTCAGCTTTTGTGTACTTATGTGAACTGAAGCCTCAGGTGTGGCATCCGGTGTGGTCTTCTGCTGCTGTAGCCCATCTGCCTCAAGGTTTGAAGTGTTGTGCATTCAGAGATGCTCTTCTGCATGACTTGGTTGCAATCAGTAGATGGTTTAATTGCCTTTCTATAAGTCTGCAGCAATCTTCACATTCTCCTCTGACCTCTGGCATCAACAGCCCATTTTCTCTCAGAGAACTGATGCTCACTGGAGATTTTCTCTTATTTAGACAAATTTTTGTAAACCCTAGAGATGGTTGTGCAAGAAGCTCCCAGTTGATTAGCAGTTTTTGAAACACTCGGACTAGCCTTTTTGGCATAGGATAGTGAGCTGTCTAGGATGACACCAAGGCTCTTAACCTGAGGTGAAACGAAAACTGCGAAGTTGTCATTAGTGAATGTGAAATGATTTGGTGCCACTTAAATCATCTTTCTTCCACATGCTGGTGTTTGGTTTGATCTTCAGCATGTCTACTTGACATCCACAAATGCAGTTATATAACTGGACGAAAGGTAAGAAAGGAAAGAAAGGAAAGGAGGACCAAGGTTATTAAGGCCCTTGAAGGTGAGGAGAAGAAGCTTGTATACTATTTGGAAGTTCCTGAAGGATAGGGATGATGTGCTGGTAGGACGGGGTTCTGGTAATAATGCGGGCAGTTTTGAACCAATTGAAGCTTATGGAGGGATTTTTGGAGGAGACCATCTAAGAGTCAATTACAATAGTCAACGCAGGAGGTAACGAGACTATGAACAAGAATGGATGCTGACTGAGTGGAAAGAGAAGGATGTAATCGGTTAATGGTGTGTAGACGGAAATAGGCAGAATGAGTGAGATCACTGATGTGAGATTTATAGGATAGTGAGCTGTCTAGGATGACACCAAGGCTCTTAACCCGAGGTGAAACGAAAACCACAAAGGTTCAATAGTGAAAGTGAAATGATTTGCCTTTAGTAGGTTGGATTTGGAGCTGATACGGATTTCAGTTTTATGCTGATTGAGCTTAAGAAAATTTGAGCTGAACCGGGATTTTAATTCAGATAAACATTCTGGAGGAATCAGGCCTGCAGGAGAGATATAACTGGGTGTCATTAGCAAAATAATAAAAGTGAAGATCAAATTTATTGACAATGGTACCAAAAGGGAGGATATATATTATGAAGAGAAGAGGGCCTGAGACTGAACCTTGGGGTAAACCAAAAGTGA